TCCTTCAGCCCTGAGGTAGACCCCTTTGCCCTGGCACAGAGGTCTCTGTGGCACTTGGAGTTGAAACTGAAAACAAAACAGGCATACCTAACATGCATGAGGCCTTGGGTTCAACCTCAGCACCTCCAAAAACAAAACAACAAAACAGAAAACACCTCATGAGATAGGCAGATAGGGCCTGCCACTGAGCATCCACCATGAGTTTTAGAAGCCCAGCGGGTCAGCTCTCGGGCAAAGGGCAGCTTCATTTCTCTTCCTGTGGCTTAATGAAAGCCTGAGGGTTTCCAGTGAGATGAGTGCCAGATGCCGGGCCACACCTGTGTCCACCTGCCACCGCCCTGTGCCCCTTCCTGCTGGCTGGAGCTAACTTCTCATGGCACAAGAAGATGCCATTGTTGTCCAGTTCTCTGTGTGTATTTATTGGATGGGGAAAAAGTATAAGGTTGACTTGAGTAGACTACAGGCTGTTACTTAAACTTGACAGTGGACACTCTCATCCCGTCTCAGAGGAAAACCAAAGGCCTGCAAGGCCCTGCAAGGCCCTGCATGGCAGACCCCTCCTCCTCTCTTCCAGGAACTTCCCCCAATGCTGGCTGCAGTCATCCTGGTCTCCCTGACCTCAAGGCCTTTGCTTTCCATGCTACCATCCCCATGGTATCTTGTCCTTTTCTTCCAGATCCATCTGCCCCCATCTGCCCCTCCCCTGACCCTTGCTCAGGCCTCCTCTCCCCACCAGAAGGTAAGCTCAAAGGAACGGGCACATTCTCGGCTCTGAGCTGCAGGACCAGGTAGGGGAAGTGGGAAGGGCGCTTCCACCTGCAGTCACGTGGTGTTTCAAGCTGGAAAGTGAGGAATCATGTCCTTTCCCTGTGTTTGCAGGGAGATGGAGTATTGTGATGCCTAGGATTAGAACGGTCCTTGCAGTTTCTAGACGGTTCTTTTCGTTTTTTTTTCCCTGGGCTTGATGCAGATGCAGTAGCTCCTCCCTCCTCCCTTCCTAGGCTGCGGCTGTGTGGGAGGAGCTGAGCCTTTCCCGGGACTGTTTCAGCAGCCATTGGCTTTTGTTTGCAAAGGGCTTGGGGAAAGTCGAAGGAGCCAGCATGAGCTGTGGAGTGGGGAGAGGACCAGCAGGGACAGAGAGATGAGCCTCTGAGATCTTAGGAAGGCATTGAGCAGGTGCTGCCGGTGTCTCCTGGGGTTTGTTGTGTGGGGCTTGCACAGCCCGCCCTACCTCCCATGACATCCATTGAAGGAAGATTCCTTTTTCTTGGGAGAGTGGTGGCAGGGCATCTATCTTCAGAAAGTGTTGAAGGTGAAGGCAGGGACTGAGTACAGGGACGGAGTCAAAACTACCAGGTGGAGACAGGGCCACATCAGAACTGTCATTCCCTTGTGCAGGTTCAGGCAAGTGTTTGGGATGGTATAGATGGTGTGTGTATGTGTGCACACGTGCACATATGAATCCTGGCATGGGGCCCTTTAAAATGGGAACATCTTTGTTTCCTGATTGGCCCACAGAAATTAGGAAAAAAATTGAACTTTTTATGTGGCCCGTTTTCCAACCTCCGACTTTTCTCCCCCATCCCCTCAGCATTATACAGACCTGGAAATGTGCTTTCTTACCCGTAGGCCTGCTCTTGTCTCCTTTACTAACCTTCCTAAGCAGAGAAGTGCCACCTGCAGCCAGCTTTGTTGGTGCAAGGCTTCTGTGTGTGTGTGGGTTCACTAAGGACAGGACTGGGCAGGGATGGGGTACTGCTGTGTCCCCTCAAAGATGGGACCCCTTCCACTACCACCAGCATCTTTTAGTCTAAGGTGGTGTTTGGACTTTGGGTCATGAATCTCCAGTAAGTTTAAAGGGTCATGATCAGCATTAACAAACTAAATAGGGGCCTCTGAGATGGCTCAGTGAGTCAAGGCACATGGGCCCAAGGCTTTGGACCTGATTCCATCAACTACATGGGACCAACACGGTGGAAGGAAAGAACTGACTCTTGCCAATCCCCCTATATAACCTCCACAAACATGCCTTGACACATGTGCCCGCTTCAAATCAAACAAATAAATAAGCATAATAAAAGTAAGTTATAAAGCCGGATATGGTGGGGCACACTGCAGTTTCAGTACTCGAGAGACTGAGGCAGAAGGGTTAGGAGTTCGAGGTCATCCCCAGCTACACAGTGAGCCTGGGGCCAGTCTAGGTTACTGGAGACCCTATTCAAGGGGTGGGAGGAAGGGGACAAGCTACAGTGAGACCCAAGCTTGCTCTGTAGCAGAGTGGCATTCGCCTACAATTCTAGCACCTGGGAAGCTGAGGGAGGAGAATTGCAAGTTTGATGCTATCTTGGATTACATAGCAGAACCCTGTATTAAAATTAATAAATAGATAGGGCAGGCAAGTTGACTCAGTAGGTAAGGGGGCTTGCTGTCAAGCTGGACAAACTTGAGTTCGAGCCCAGGAACCCACGCGGTGGAAGGAGAGGTTGTCCTCTGATGTTTACACGCTGTGTCATGGCACGTGCATGCATGTGCCACACTGTGACACACACACACTCTCTCTCTGAATACATACATGATTAAAATCATTAAAAAAAAACCCAAGTAGAACAGAAATATCAGAGCACATTACCTGCTTGGAATTAAGTATTGATGTGTATGTGGGTATGTGTGTATCATGTATGCAACAGGTTTGGAAGCTACTTGCTGGGAACCCGTACCACAACTGTAATTTTGCCGTGTGTCCTTCCTTTGGCAGTATTTAATGTGTTTTAGTGGGCGAATTGTCAGCTCACTTCAGCCCACATCAGACCCACAGGGGCAGGTGGCTTCCGCTCCGGGAGCTGTCATTTGAGGCACTGGGAGGGGCCTGATGACACCTGTTCACAGGCCTGAAGCCCCTAACACCGGCAATAAATGCTTTTCCTCTTAGGACAACAGATGGGAGCGGCTATCTGAGCGGTTGCACTTCGGTGAGTCATCCCGAGATCCTCATGCACGTCTCCCCAAAATGCAGCAAACTAAACATGTCGGGCCACATACATTCCTGAGAGCGATTTTTTGTCCAGGAACAGTGTGAGCGTGTTGTTCAGCGTTGCCATAGGGAACAGCCAGCTTTGCTTTTGAAATGCCCAGAAGGGCGCGCTCTGATTGGTTCTCTGTACTGCTCATCACTTCTGCCCAGCAACTGGCACTGCGGCGTTCAGAATACCCGCCCCCAAAGCCGTGGCCCTGTTTGGGGCAAACTTCTTTATGCAGTCGGTTCGGCCTCCCCCAAAGCAGGGGTCTGGAGCTGCTGAATGGGAGAAGGCCTGGGGTGATGAGAGAGAGAGAGCCGACCAGGGGCCGGGCTCCCCCGCAGAGGGCTCCACGCTGGTGGACTCAACCTACTCATTCTGAAAGAGCCTTACTAGCGCTTTGGCAGAGAATAAAAGGAGGCACGCAGCCGTAGGAAACCCCGCGCTCAGGTCTTTGTACCTTTTGCCTGTGGCTTATTTGAAAAGAATCCAGATAGTGCAGCCTAGAGACGAGAGCCTTTCTGGATTTGGGCAGTTCCCTTGTGCAGGCCGTGTGAGGCACGAGCAGCACGGGCACCGAGTCCTCAGTGGGGCAGGACTTCACCCTGGACAGGGCTGGGGACATGGGACGAGGCCCCAGAGTACAGGGTGGGAGCCAGGGACACCTGAGTCTGCTGGGTCAGTAAAGACACCCATGAGGGGAAAGGGGAGGCCTGTCTGACCAGGGTCTACAGTGAGCTCCAGAGGCCGCATAAGGGGCTGTCACTCTAGCGCTGTGGCTTGGGGTAACCCTCCATCTACCCTCGCATCTGAACTCAGAACTGAGGCCTTGTGGCCCAGGTGGGGGCGCCACTGGCCTAGCTGAGTCTGGCCAACCAGGATGCTGTCTGGGCTCTGGTATAGGCACCTGTTGGCTAATGCATCCAGGGACGTCCTGTCACACTATCTAGGCTTCTAGAACATTCCACGAGGTAAGCTGGACAGATGATGCTGGACTTCCTGCCTCTGTTCATTGCAGAGCACGTGCAGGGGCACCGACAGGCTGGTCACACTGGTCTCAGCTTTGGCCTTGGACCCTACGAGTTTTCTTAAGAAATGTGAGTTTTTAACGGCTTTGGAGATGATCTCGGACTCTTTCCTCAGTGGTCTGAACTTCCTAAGGATAGGCCCCCATTTGCCCCCCCCACCCCCCATTTACCCCCCTCACCCCCCATCCTGCTGTGGCATTAGGGATCATCTTGGGAAGGAGCCCTGTGAGCCCTCGGTGACCATGAGACAGCAGGATGAAGCCGCTGGAGAAATGGGCGTCCCTGGCCTAGAGAAGTGCCCAGGGCAAATTGGCCACCCTGTCCACACTGGGCCAGACCCAGTTTCCTGGGTGGGTGGGTGGAGGGAGCCAAGGAGGAACTCTGCTAAGCCTCTGAGAGCTCGGTCAGATGGCGCCAGACCCGCCTGTGAGAGGCATGCGAGGGGCACGCGTGGAGGTGGCGTGTCCGTGTACAAACGTGCGGACTGTCTGTGGGCTCTGCGCGCCTGTGAGCTCTGTCGGGGGGAGGGGGGGATGACGGGACTGTCCGTGTCCGAGCAGGAGACACTCGGAACGAGCTCTGCACGTGTGTCAGCGGGTGCCCGCGACCGAGTGTCTCCTACAGGTGTGAGTGCTCGAGTAGGCGACAGGGTAGGGACAGCCCGTCGAGGTGGCGACGCGAGGAACCTTCTTCGCCTAACTCTGCCTGACTGGCTTTTTGACCCGGAAAGACCGGGACGCGGGCGGGGCGCGAGGGCGCACGCGCGCGCGCGCGAAGGGGCCCGGGCCTGAGGGCCCCGGGCGCGCGCCGTCGTTGCTAAGGCCGGCGGCGAGCGCGGGGCCGAGGGTCCCTAGCAACGGGCGCGGGCGCGCGCCAGCCGAGGGGGATGGGGGGAGGCGCGCGCGGGCGGCGGGGGCGGGCGCGCCAGGGCGCGCGCCGGCGGCCCGCGGGGATTTCCAGCGCGCGAGAGGAAGTGCCAGCGCGAGGGTGCGTGAGGCGGCGCGGCCGGCGGCCGCCGCGTGCGCGAGCCGGGTTGCAGCCCAGCAGGGACTTTCCAGCCGGCGGCGGCGGCCGCCGGCCCTTCCCCGCCCCCCGACATGGGGCTGCCCGGGGAGCTGGACGCTGCAGACGACGGCGGAGGATGCGCGCGGCGCCCCTGAGCCGGCCGAGCGGGCGGGCCGCGGGGTAAGGTCGGCGGGCCGGGACGGCGGGGCGGCGGGGCGGCGGGCGGCTCCATCCCGGCGGCGGCCCCGGGCCCGGCGGGTCCTGCGCGGCCAGGCCCGGCCCGGCCGCCTCACCGTCTGCGGTGCGGCCCGCCCGCCGCCCCAACTTTGGAAACTTTGTGTGTGGGGCCGGCCCCGGGCCCGAGGCGCCGGCGCTTTCAGGCGGACGGGGCAGCCAGGCCTCGCGCCCTAGGTGCCCGCCCCGAGGGGTGCTGAGCCGTCAGCATCTCAGAGGCCCGGGGCTTTGGCGCGGTACGGAACGACGGAGTCAGGGTGTCCGCATAGATGAGCGTGCTCGTCCTGGCTGGTGGAGGTGGGTTTTTGAGCCATTATTTAAAAGTTTATACTGAGTCATTGCTCTGCAGATGAATGACTGATTCATAGTCGGAGAGCTGCAGAGAGGCTGGAAGGCAGGCCGTTCTGGGATCCAGCTGGGGTCGAATGCACACCTTCCACCTTCGATTAACACCAAAGGTCAGAGTGGGCTCCCCACGGGCGAGTCATTAAAACGATCCCTGCCGCGGGGCTTTGCAGGGTCTGGAGGCGCCAGGCTACGGCTCTTGTATGTTTCGCCACGTTTCCACACTGTCATCAGCCCCGGGTTGGGGACGCGGGTTTCAGGATTAGATCTTTAGAGAGAATTCTGCGTGGAAAATTCTTTACCTTTAATTTGAAACGGCCACAAAATGCAAACGGGTGAAGTGCTGTGGACGTGCTCTGAAATCTAAAAAGCATTCGGATCGGTTGAAGGAACTGATTTTATTTTCGTGGCTTTTGTACTGAGCTTTGACTCAGTTTTGAGAATGAAATAGAAGGGAGTGTGTGTGTGTGTATTTGTGTGTGCTCTTTTTCTGTGGAATCTTAAAAGCTATATCGAGTGTTGTATTGGCGTCTTAATTTACATTCACAGCATACAACTGAAGAGGAGCCATAATTTTTTTTGGTAGCATTTTCTGTGACTAGATGCACAGGTGAAATTTTTGGAAATGGTGTTTTGTGTTGTCTGTGAAATGCTGATGTGTAGAAATGTCCAGGTGGACCCTCAGTTGGGCTTTAAAATCTCCTGGTGCTGTTGAGGTCTTGGAAAATGGCCTGTTGAAAATACCGCATCATTGTAGGGTGTCTGGCAAAATAGTGTACAGCCATCCTTTATTCAAAGGGGAGGAAATGTTTCCCTTTTCGCCATATTGTGACATCTTAAATATTAAGAATTAGTCTGAAGGTGAAAATTCTTTGGCCAACACAAACGGAACATTTAAAGTATGAAAAGTGGGGAATTTATGACAGGAGTCAGAAATCCCTGAGTAGGTGCTGGGGATGGAAATCCAGATGGATCTTGGGTTCCATCCTCACTGGCTCAGATCAGACCTCATAATGGACAAGGTTTAAGATGTAAGGTGTCTTACCCAGACACCTCTGTTCCAGCTGTCACAGTGCAGAAGCCAGGGAAGCGGGGAGCTAGCCAGGGAGAATTCCAGCATTTTTAAAACAAGACATTCATGTGAATCGTGTGAGGGAAAAGAAGACCAATTATTTTCCTTGGATGCTATCCATTCTTTTTGGAATTAATCAGATGGCCTCAGTGAGAAGGCTGCAGAGACATTCCATTGGAAACAGGCAGTAGTCAGTTGTCGGTGCTCTGAAGAAAGTCCTTCATTTAACTGGATGCTTCTTGTCCCTGTGTTTGGGATTTTTTCCTAAACACTTCTGCTAGAATCCCTTAGAAATTTTCTGTGTGTAAATCAAGATGGACTTTCCGGGGTATTGTCAGGATAGATATGCTAATGAGCCAAGTAGATGAGCATGATTTATCATTCCCTAAAATCCTTTTTTTTTTTTTTGTAATGTACCTCGGGAGAGATGAAGCTGTCACTGTGGTGTTGCAAGTCTTAGCTAGCGCAAACACACAAAGGAAATTGCATTAATTTGCCTTTGTTTTCTCATCTTGTATAGTAAGACTCTCCAAACAGCAAATGAGCTAACTTATCAAGTATTATGCAATATTCAATTTCTTCTCAGTGGTCAATTTCAGAATTTTTAACAGAAGTCTCATGACCCAAGGCCTTAGTGTGATTTGTGGAATCAGAACCCTTGTATGTATCTTTGCAAGTATTTACAGAAGAAAAATAATTGTTTTTGTTGATGTTTGTGCTTGTATATGCTCATTACAATCCAGATATGGAGGGAAGCTGAGAAGAGAGCTAAAGTGAGGAAGGAGGTGAGATCAGAGGATTTGGAAGGTGACCAGAGAGGGGCAGCCGAGGCCTGGGTATAGCATGGTGCTTAGGCTTGGAGCCAGAGTGAGGGAGGCCCAGAGGCCTGCAGGCAGGAAGGCAGTAGAGATGAGTAGCTGGGATTGGTGTAGTCTCAGAGGAGCTAACAGAGAGAAGAAAATAGAATTTTATTTTGTTTTTGGTAAGATTGAAAATAGAATTTTAAAAAGAAAACTATAGAAGAAAACATTAAATTTATTTGTGTAGTTTCTATGATTCCTAATTAATAAAAATATAAAATGCCTTTTCATTTTCAAAAACCTTATTTTGTATATCCCAGGGAAGAATTGGGATGAGAGGCCAGTCTAGAAAGAAGAAGGTGAGGTTCCTATCAAATACAGAGCCTTTTTTTGGTGGTACTTGGTGTTTCAGACTTGGGGTCAACTGCTAGGGAGTGAGATGTCACTAGTGCAGGTGACTGTTGACTTCTGGCCCCTCCAGGAGTCAGGTTGGCATTCATGCTGCAGTCAGACAAGCATATTATTAACCTGGACTTGGGAGTCTTTTGCTCGTTTAATTAACATTCAGTTAATGTGCCCCAGGATCCCATAATCTAGTTACTATGCTAGGATGAGTGAGACACAGCACCTGTTTTTAGGGGCATGATCTGTAGAAATCTGAGGCGTCTGGGTCCCTGTGCACAGTGAAGGGCAGTGTCAGACCCACCTAAGATCTGACTATGACACCAGGACAGGAACTTTCCAAAAGAATAGTGAAGAAAAATGTAAGTCATCATCTCACTCCCAAAGAGTTGACCCCTGCTAGGCCTTTAATCCCAGCACTTGGGAGGCAGAGGCAGGTGGATTTCAAGGTCAGTCTGGTCTATAAGAGCTAGTCCAGGACAGCTAGAACTGTTATACAGAGAAACCCTGTCTTGGAAGAAAAAAGAAAGTTGACTTGTTACACAAGTAAAGACTTACTAGGAAAAAAAGGAAAGTCATCCACATATGTAGGAGGAAATGAATTAGTGTGTTATATAGAATCTGCAAGTATGGGGTGGGGCTTGTGTTACTGTAAGAGAAAAGCTCCTGGCTGCCTGTATTAGTCAGGGAAGTATCCGGGAAAGGCACCCAGTTGACCACAGTATTAGGAAGTCTGGTCCCACTTGTAGGGCCCAGAGAATGACAGTAAGAGGATCTTCCCTTCCCTTCTATGTGAGGTGAGACCTGTTAGCTTGCTGTCCTGTTGCTCCCTGCTGGTATAAATGATGTTAGTAGTGCTGCTAGCCAGCTTTCCAGATGTTTTATTTCCTTTGCTATCCTCCAGCTCTTTCAGGCTTTTGTGTGTTTTGAAGCTGAAGTAATCTGGCTGTCTCTGACTGAAGAGCTTGGTTTGTGGAAGGTAGTGGAGCAATAGAACCAGTTTGGGTCACAGCACATTGCTGTGCCTGCTGTTTCTCTTTGTAGGTCAGTGCTTCCAACCTTCCTGATACTGTGACCCTTTAATACAGTTCCTCATGTTGTGGTGACCCAACCATAAAGTTACTTTGTTGCTACTTCATAACTGTAATTTTGCTACTCTTATGAATCGTCATGTAAATATCTGATATGCCACCCATAAGGGGTTGTGACCCACACGTTGAGGGTCATTATAGATAGAAAATTTCAAAAATCTGTGGTGGTGGGAAAGACACAACACACTTCCCCCAAACCCACCACTCTAGTCCTTATCGAGAGACTTGGCATGTTTTAATTCTCATGAAATGAAATACTGGATCCTGTGTTTCATTTTTAAAAATAATTTTATTTATTATTATTGTATATGTATGATGTGTGTATAGCAAGGAGGTGAGTGACACTTAGGGCATGTAGTAGTCAGAGGACAACTTTGTGGGGTCTGTTCAGTACTTCTAGTCACATGGGTTCTGCTGATTGAGTTCAGGTGGTTATACTTACACCCTTGGATGGCAAAGCTTTATTCTTTACTCACTGAGCTGTCTCATAGTCCCTGATATTTCATTTCATGTTCTCATTTTTAAAAGATTTGTTTCATGTTGATTTTAAATATTTGAAAATTAGCTAGAGGACTGGTAAAATGGCTCCACAGGTAAGGTTGCTTGCCAGCAAGCCTGATGACCTGAGTTTGATCCTTGGAACTCATGGTCAAAGCAGAGAGTTGGTGGCAGGTCTGACCTCCACGCATGTGCCTCTTCCAAGAACAACGTAAAGGGGAAGGGATGAAGTGGAGGCTATTTGGTGACTTCTCATGAGGCCATTTTACTAAAGAGATACGGACTGGTGTTCTGATTTCCCAATTTCCTCTCCACTTCAAACGCTGATTATACATCCAGACCATAATACCATATTAATGAGAAGCTTGACATCTTTTTTTTTAAGTATTTATTTATTTATTTTGTAGACAATGTTCTGTCTGCATGTATGCCTGAAGGGCCAGAAGAGGGCACCAGACCTCACTACAGATGGTTATGAGCCACCATGTGGTTGCTGGGAATTGAACTCTGGACCTTTGGAAGAGCAGGCAACGCTCTTAACCACTGAGCCATCTCTAGACCCGAAGCTTGACATCTTTTAAGTGTTAAGAAAGGCTAAGTTGGGCTGGAGAGATGGCTCAGAGGTTAAGAGCATTGCCTGCTCTTCCAAAGGTCCTGAGTTCAATTCCCAGCAACCACATGGTGGCTCACAACCATCTGTAATGAGGTCTGGTGCCCTCTTCTGGCCAACAGGCATACAGACAGAATGTTGTATACATAATAAATAAATTAAAAAAAA